TTTTTTTTTTCTTTGACAAGTTTGATACTTGACACTAATATTGACAAATTTTGTGAAATTTAAAATAGATTATTATGTGTCAATTACGTGATGTCATGAATTTTTAAAAGTCTAAAATTAAAGTGACAGATTACTTATAGTCTTACTGTGAAGAATCAAATTAAAATTGCTAAAAAAAACAGAAATTCAGGAAGTAATTATTTAGGATTAAAACTGTAGGTGTCAAAATTATAGAACGTTTATAATTCAAGAATTAACCGTGATAATATCCCTTTTAAGTTATTGACGAGTTAGAAAATGAAGAAAATTAAACAATGTGAGAGAATATCGACATAAATAATTAAAAAAAAAACTGAAAAGAAAAAAAAAACGTGGACAGATCGAAATCTTGACCATCCTATCCCTATCATCAGGAAAGTTCAATTGTAATCTTCTTATCTTTCTTTTTTTCTTTTTGAAATAAATCTTTTCAGCTTTTGAACTTTGTATTTTTATTCTGAAAATATGTTACTATATAATATATATATATATATATAGACTGATTACCAATTTTTTTATATTAATTTTTGACAAATGATTGATTGTTATTTTTTTAAAAGGACAAATTAATAATTGATTATGCATACATTGTATTTGCTAAATCAGATATTAACTATAACCAAGTTTAGATAAAAACTTGGAGAGAGAGAGAGGAGGTTATATCTTACCTAAAATGTCGTGCGCCATGTCTCTAAACCGGAGATGGCGGCGACCCAGTTGAGCATGGTGTTCCAGAACCAAAGAGATCAAGTTGTAAGAATAGAATGTCACCAGAGCTCCGATCACCAAACAGAAAATCCCAGCCGCCCATCCAAGAAAAGTGAAAGCATATGGGAGACTCAGGAGAGCTGGGGCCACAATTGAAGTTGTCAAGTGATATCCACAGTGAACCCATGATCCTGCAAATTTTCATTCTTATTTAGTTTTGCAAAACAATTAAGAGACTTTCTTTAATAGACCATCCAATTCTAGTGTCAATTTTTGACAGTTAAATTTAGTTAAAAACATATGTAAAATGATAATTTTTAATACAGATAGAACGGTTAAAAAATAGAGAATTATAAATATTTCATTTTTTTGTCATGCTACCAGAGAAATTTTTTATAATAAATTATGGGTTTGGATTATTTTTCTCTAGGATTATACTAATGGAAATTTTCTAAAAGGGTGCGAGAATTGAAACTTAGAACTTCATAGTGAAAGTTGCAATGGTTACCAATAATAAAGCTAAATTTGTTGACTGAATATTGAAAAAATTATCAATACTTATTTTTTCTCATCTTATTAGAGAAACTTTTTAAAACAAATTATTGGTTCAGATTATTTTTTTCTAGGATTATACTAATGGAAATTTTCTAAAAGTGTGCGAGAATTGAAACTTAGAACTTCATAGTGAAAGTTGCAATGGTTAATGGAAAACTGCTGATCAGTACCAACTATATTTGTCCTTTTTAAAATAAAAAAAAAAGTTGAAGATCTCAAAAGTGGGAAAAAGAAAAGGAAAATAAGAAAGAGGAGCAAGAAAGAATAATGGAGTAATTTTGGGTTATGTACAAGGAAAGTTATGTATATGTATAATCCTTTGTATGAAATATTTTACCTTTGGATTTGAGAACAAAAAGAGCACCGGCATCAAGTTCTCTTTGAGGATGAGTGTGTTGAGCAATATCCTTCCCACCTTCTCCCTCATGTACTGGAATAGAGCCCGGTGTAACGGTTCCCATCTCTCTCTTTCTCTCTCTATAAATCTCTTTCTCTCTCTAGATCTCTTTGAATCAGGAATTCATGACATACACGTATATAACTAATGTGCACTGGGACTGCCGATGTCTGAAAGATGTCTGAAAGTCAAAGAGAGTGTTCGTTTTGATGACTGTATGCTGCTCATTTTGTGGACTACGCTTTTCTAATAGAAAGTGAGTTTTACCCTATTTTTATGCACTGAAATAGAAACAAGTTGATTTGTTGCTACATTTTTTTAAAGAGAAAATTACATTTTATTAAAATATTGATAAACAGTTGTCTTGATACAATGTTAATCTATAAGAGAAACAGACGCACGTTTGATACCCAAAATCGAGAAAACACATGAGCACACTAACAACGAGCGGACTGAAAGCTCGACTAGAGAAAGCTCATCTCTTCAACATAAGCTGTCGAGTGCTGGAAGGCAATCAAACACAGAAAGGGGACATCTACACGACATAGAAAAAATTGTAACAGGACTAAGACCACCCTATCGATATTAAGCC